TCCTGATCCGCAGACTGCCTCACCGTAGTCGCTGGTTAATTATAGTTAGGAACAGGAGTGTGCACTCGTGACCCGGAATGACCGAGTAGGAAAGGTGGCACAGTGGGAACTCGCTCTCCTTCCTGCCTCCGACGACCCGAGTACCTGCTTCCCAGAGAGGAGCCGCCAATTTTCAGAGTGCCCTCCTGAGCGCTCTCCAGGTCTCTGCTTTCTACATGGCGCCCACCCTCCCTCTCCGTGTGTCCTGAGCTTGCAGGTGAGGCTGACGCACAGGGATGTTCAGAAACGTCCTCCCGCGGGGAGGGCAGGTCTGGCTTTCCATTCTGGCCCTTTAATTGCTTTTAATGCAAAGTTCAAATTCTTTTTTTAAAAATACTTATTTTTTATTTAGTTTGATTCATCATCATCATTATTATTTTAATGAACATCGAGAGGACAGAGAGATGGAGGGAAAGTGAGAAAGCAAGGCGCCAGGTCCAGGACTTGAACTGTGGTCAGCTTTGTGGGAGTCCAGTGCCCAACCACCTCATCACCTGCCAGCCCCACAAAGTTCAGGTTCTTAAGGTGCCTCCAGCACCTCTGCTGACCCCTGCAACTTCATCTCGAGCCCCATCATCTGTTCTCTGCACGTTATTAGTCCTGCTGGTTTTCTGCTCTTTAAACATGCCCCGCTTCTTCTGACCCAGGGCCTGTGCACGTGCGTAGCTGCGGCCTCAATCTGGTCACTGCAACTCTCCCTTCATCAGTGTCAATGCATCCCTCAAGGCTCAGCTTTAGTCATTGTCTCCAAGAGGCCCTCTCTGCCTCCAGACTCTGCCGGGTCCCCTGTGAATATTCTCAAGGACTACCTGGTCTTGTCCTCTCTCCTTCTCCTCCCTCCCTCCCTTCCTTCCTTTTCCTTTCCTGGGATGTGAACCCAGAACCTTCCCATGTGGCTTCCAGAGGCATACGGCAGCACCACTCCTGCACGCTGCAGCTGGGCCTGTCTTCTCTTTCTTAACGGGCTTTAACCAACTAGTCGATAGCACCGTCAGACGGAGCTTCCCAGAAGCAGGACGAGATGGCTTCCTCATGGGGAGCCCCAGCACACGGCGCGGAGCCCTAGAAGTCGGGTGGATGTGTGTGCCACCGCGCCACTGCCTTGCTGGGTGCTTTCTCTGTCTGCGGCAGAACACAGGCCCTGGGGGCGGGCCAGCCATCTCCCCCACAGTCATTCTCCACTGATGCATTTCAGGCGTTCGCCAACCCCGAGGACGCCCTGAGACACGGAGGCCCCCAGTATTGCCGGAGCGACCCGGACGTGGAGCGTTGCCTCAGGCAAGTACTGTCGGCCTGGTCCGGCAGCCACCAGTCACAGACCTGGCCACGCCGGTCCTTTCAGACCTTCTGCACTCTGGGGCTTGGAGGACACCAGGGGCGAGGTTCTGCCTTCCTGATCCGCAGACTGCCTCACCGTAGTCGTTGGTTAATTATAGTTAGGAACGGGAGTGTGCACTCGTGACCCAGAATGACCGAGTAGGAAAGGCGGCACCGTGGGAACTCGCTCTCCTTCCTGCCTCCGACCTCAGGCCAGTTTGTCATGCACCTTCGGCATTTACCCACTAGGTCACGAGGGCCCTCGGAGTCGGTGCGGTAGTGCCGACTCCCCAGGGAACGAGGCCTGTGGCACCCTAGCCACTTCCCATCCGAGGCGCTCGAGGGCCGGCCTCGTCTTCCTCTGTTCTGAACAGAGCCTGGCCCACCTCGGTTTGCCTGTGCACGCAAAACGATAGGATGCGACCAAGTGATGGGAGACATTGCTCAGTCCCCCGCTCTCCCCAGCCCCGGCCAGCTGCTTCGCCACGCCTCTGCTGTCTGCGCCTGTCAGACTGGGTGGGCCTTGCCTCAGAGGTCGGTAAAAACTCACATCACAATTTGGTTTTACTTTGCATCTCTTCGGTTCTGAGCAAAGTGAACATCTTTAGGTATACTTTACATTCTCCCAGTTAATTGAAATCAGACTAGTAGGTGGTATGGTGACTAAGGCATTGGACTCCCACATGGTCGGCCACAGTTTGAGTCCCAGACCTGGTGGCTTGCTTTCTCACTCTCCTTCTCTCTTATGAATTAAACAAATAGTAATAATAATAATAAGAAGAAGAAATAAAATGAAATAAATAATTATTTTTAAAAATCAGAACTGGGACCAGCAGACGGTACAGTGGTTACATTGCTGGACTCCCACCAGGCCGACTGTGGTTCGAATACCAGACCCGATGGCTTCAAAACTACACCCGGCAGCTGTGTGTGCACGCCCATGACTCCAGGAGAACTGAGAAGAGATTGTGGTGTGGCCATCCCCTCTGGGGGGGATTTCTCACTTTCCCTCTCACTGTGTCTGTCTCTGGTGAGCACATGCACCCTAAGGCGGAAACTTAAAAAAAAAAAAAGACTCACTGCAGTTTGGGTAACACTGAAAACACAGAGGAAAAAGGAAAACCACTCAACTCTAGTTACCGTTAACATCTTCTCTCTCCTCTTTGTCTTCTGTGTCTAAATGCTTTTCATAAAATGAGGCACGTATCAGGCATAACCAATTTGAAGTTTGGGGTTTTTTTTAGCTAACTTATTTCATGAGCACTTTCTGTGTCAGCAAATATTATTAAAAAATTATTCTTACAGGGACCAGCGGGTGGCGTGATGGTTAAGGGCCATGGACTCCCACATGGCCGACCTTGGCAGTCCGAGACCTGGTGGCTTGCTTTCTCTCTCTCTTTCTCACTCTGTCCCTCTCTGGCCAAATAAATACATCAAGTTAAATAAAAAAAACTCTTAAAAAATAGTTCTTAGAATATAACTGAGTGGGAGCCAGCAGTTAGCGTAATGGCTATGTCGCTGGACTCCCACGTAGTCGACCGTGGTTCGCGTCCTGGACCTGGTGGCTTAAAACTCACGCCGGGCGCGTGTGCGTGTGTGCCCAAGATCCCGAGAGGAGAATGGAGGAGAAGGGATTGCGGTGTGACCATCCCCCCTGGGGGGTGATTTCCCTCTTTCTGTCTCTCTGTCTCTCTCTGTCTGTCTGGCGAGCGCACGCGCCCTATAGGAAAAAAAAAAAAAGAATATAACTGAGTGAAATTTGTTCGGAATTTTACCATCAGAGGTGGAATATTAATGTTAATTTAACATAACCAGTGTCAATATTAGATTTTTTTTGACAGTTTCTGCTCTGCTATTCTAAAAATAATCTTCATTATTATTATTCTCTTTCTGATTACTACAGGGTGCGTGCCCTCACCAGAGAGAGACAGGGAGGGAGAGGGAGGAGGCAATCCCTTCTACTCTGTCTTCATCCTGTCGGGATTTGGGACACAAGTGCGCACAGTCCTGGCATGCTCTCCAAGCCACCAGGGCTGGGATTTGAAGCGCAGCCAGACGTTTGAGGTCCAGTTCCCTTAACCGCTAGGCTACAGAACCAGCCTTGCTCTGCTGTTCTACCAGCAGGTTAGAGAGTGAGGAGGGGACACTCCCAGAGGGTGGGGCTTATCAGCGGCTGAGACAGGAGGCCCACTGTCACATAGCTCTCAGTGTCACAGGCAGAAGTGGAGGGAGGCCGCCATTTAAATAGGAGAAATTCTTTGGTTATAGAAAGCGGTTTGTTATGTTAACTGTTTCTCTTGGCCATCGACAATACCGTGCGCACTTGTGGTTTTAAAAACTGCAGAATGTGCGACCCGGGAAATGAACTCCCTTGCTATTCCACCCTGTGTAACCGCACTCCGTAGACGAGCCATCGTTTAAAGAGCACCTACTATGCGCAAGAAGACACTGGCTGAGCATTGGCTGTGCTTGTATGAACAGGAACTTTTCCCATCCGTGACCCCGTTATCAGCGACCTCATCCTGTCCTCGTCCTTCAGTCTGGCTCTTCTGGGTGGTGGAGAAGCACACGGTGCCACATCGTGCCACGGCGGGACTGGCCAGGCCGGCTCACGGCGGCCACTGGGAGGCCGTGCGTCGGCTCCTCCCAGGCTGCCCCCCAGGCTGGAGGTTCCATGTGGCAAAGTTTGCATGTGACACAGCAGCCGCCTGAGGGCTTACAGCCACTTGGCTTATTTGTTTAATTATTAATTATGCCAGAGAGTGTGAGCATGCACGAGAGAGAGAGAGAAGGCACTCCCCAATGTCACTCCTCAGTCCCTTTCCCTCCCTCTCTCCATCGCGTCAGGATCTTGTGTGTGTGCACACACATGTGCCCAGTGTGTTTTTCAAGCCTCTGGGGCCAGGATTCCAACCACAGTTGGCCACGTGAGACCAGCTCCCTCTAAAGTGCTTGTTCCTTAAGGGGCTAGCCAAACACAGGGCTTCTTTTAGTGGCTGTCACCATGCCAGCAAGACACAACAGACCCACGTGTGCCAAGGCTTTTTCACATACCCCATACCGTTTTCCCCCCATCAAGATGGCCTGACGTCATCACTTAACTGGTTGAAATTCAACACACCTTTTTCTTTTATTTTTTGAGAGATTTTCACTATAGGGCGCATGCGCTCGCCAGCCAGACAGAGAGAGATATAGAGACAGAAAGCAAGAAATCACCCCCCAGAGGGGATGGTCACGCCGCAATCCCTTCTCCATTCTCCTCTTGGGATCTTGGGCATGCACGCACACGCGCCGGGCATGAGATTTAAGCCACCGGGTCCGGGACGTGAACCGCGGTCGACTACGTGGGAGTCCAGCGACATAGCCATTACGCCAACTGCTGGTTCCCAGCGCACCTTTTCTTTTTAAGAGAGAGATTTTTGCTATAGGGCACGTACACTCACATGAGAGAGAGAAATCACTCCCTGGAGGGATGACCACCTTGTAATCCCTTCTCCATTCTCCTCTCTGGATTTTGGGTACATATGCACATGTGCCTGGTATGAGTTTTAAGGTGCTGGGCCCAGGGCTCAAACCACAGTCTGCCATGTGAGAGTCCAGTGACGTAACCATTACACCATTTGCTGGTCCCAAACACACCTCTTCCTTAAGCACCTCTTTTCTTTCTTTTTTTTTTTTTTACGTATTATTTATTTTTAAAAAATGACCAGAGAAAGACAGAGAGACAGAGAGGGAAAGTGAGAAAGCAAGCCGCCAGGTCCAGGACTCAAACCTTGGTCAGCCATGTGGGAGTCCAGTCTTTAACCACCACACCACCTGTCGGCCCCCTGAGTACCTCTTTTCTGGTAGACCTTTATACCCATTCATGAGAACGTCCTGGGGCCTACTGTGAACAGGGCGATGCCTGGCCCCTGGCCTCCTCCCCCACTGCCTGACTGCACAGAGCATCGCGGAAACCTGAGGGTATAGGACAGGGACACAGCCTGTCACCCTGTCCTCTACTCCAGCAAACTGGCTGGAACCGGAGGGAGCCCCCGCCCCACCCTGGCCGCTGCAGCTGGTTAATAGCAGACCAGGCTGCTGTGCTCTCAGGGTCCTCAGAGCAGAACCTGCCTGGCAGAGCAGGTTGGCCCTTGCTGGAGCCCAGTGGCCAGCGCTGGGAGAAACCGGGTCCGGGCCCACAGGGCGAAACCCGTCTTCTCTCCACAATTCCTACTTAGATTTTCTGGAAACCATGTTTTGAACAAAATCTGAGACCAGGTGTATGAAGCTAGTGAGGGGACTATGCCTGTGGTCCTGCAGAAGGAAGGCTTTGACTGTTTCCTTTTAAAAACAAAATTTTAGGGACCAGCAGTTAGCGTAATGGCTATGTCACTGTACGCCCATGTAGTCGATCGTGGGTCGTGTCCCGAACCCGGTGGCTTAAAACTCACGCCAGGCGCGTGTGCGTGCGTGCCCAAGATCCTAAGAGGCGAATGGGGGAGAAGGGATTACGGCATGGTGATTTCTCCCTTTCTGTCTCTCTGCCTCTGTCTTTCTGGCGAGTGCATGCGTCCTGTAGCAAAAACCTTTCCAAAAATAGGGACCAGCAGTTAGCGTAATGGCTATGTCACTGAACGCCCATGTAGTCGATCGTGGGTCGTGTCCCGAACCCGGTGGCTTAAAACTCACGCCAGGCGCGTGTGCGTGCGTGCCCAAGATCCTAAGAGGCGAATGGGGGAGAAGGGATTACGGCATGGCCATCCCCCCTGGGGGGTTATTTCTTGCTTTCTATCTCTCTGTCTCTCTCTGTCTGTCTGGTGAGCACACACACGCCCTATAGCAAAAACTTCTCAAAAAAAAAAGTCTCCAAAAAGAAAAACAAAACAACAACAACAAAAATCTAAGTTTATTTCTTTCTTCTATGAATGAGAGAGGAAGAGCACGTGTGGCCATTACTCCAACAGGGTCTGGACACAGCA